TCTATTGGTTTAACTTAAGTGGCTATTGTGCGGGACGAACAATACTAAGGAAGGGCAGTGTTACGACAGCGGAAGTCAAGTGACGCTGGTAACACGTAATGAGTATCTCGAACGTTCCTGAAGGGTCGAGTATTTGCTAGATGCCCTCTATTTTGTATAGATAAGACCGTCAAGAAGTGACGGCATAAATAATTGAATAGCAGACAGAGAGATAGAGACAGATAATCGAGTCAAGCCGTAAGTATAGTGTGTAAATCGTTGTGAATTATAGCGTGTGTTGAAGTTAAAGTGACTGTGGAAATTAAGTGTATTGCAAAGTTGAGTTGAGAAAGAATAAACTAATTTTATTTAAGAAAGGACTTGTATCGCTGAAGTTTCACGGAAATAATTTCCACGGAAAATTAATAAACGAACACAGAGACGTAACTGTATGAACTGTTTGTGAGTGGATGTGATCAAATTAAGAGAAGAGTAAAATTACACAAAATGCTACAAGAATACTATTCAATGACATGTTCCTGAAAAGGTGAAGAAAAGTCAGTGTTTAGAATAAGTAATAGAATGCATAACCCTAATTCGAGAATAATATCTCTAGCATTTTATAGATTACTAAAGATAGTCATGGAGGGAGGGAGAGGTCCACTGAGAACCTGACCCTCCCAGGTTGCCCAACGACTAAATATCGATCCAGAACAGATAATGTACTTTGATCACTAGAGTGTTAGTATATAAAGGTATTTAAATACTGTACACTGTCAAGTAATTTATGATAAAAACTGATTGTTTATAAAGTTTGCTTTATTCCTTACTAAAATAATTTTAAATATACTTTTATCTAGCATGTCTATTTAAAAGCACAGCTTTCGTGTTTGTTCGTACTTATTTAGTACAAAGCTACACAATGGGTTATCTATGCTGTGACCTAAGTTTTGTAATTAAACTAAAAATAAAGTGTATATTACATACATATAAGTATCATGTAACACTATAATTCTGGCCCTTATTCGTGTTTTGTTTTTTAATTTTGTTAACAACAAAATTGTATACTTTCGACAGTGTTTTTGTGTTGAAAAATTGAAAAAGCAGTTTTTAAATCATTAAAATTTCGTAGAATGTATAGTACTCAAGGTCGTAGCCTCAGGCATAACAAAAGCTGCCATTGCTAAAGTGAAACAAATAGGTCAAAGGTATGTAGGATGAAGGGACCAACGCGAAAACAATGCCCTAGTCAGTTTAATGTATGCCCTTTCTGTTTTTCTTAGGTCATCGATAACACATATCGTTTTTGTGCCATGTTTTGGTATAAAAGACAAATCATGGTTGTCAGGACGATCGCAAATGAAAATGTGGTGTTCGCCAACCTAAGTACGTTGTTGTTGTTTTTTGACAAAATATATATGCTATAGCAGTCCGAATTCGAGATGCAATCATGAAGTAATAATGATTAGCATAAGATATTATTTATGAAAAATGACTTTCCATATACTTGTTTTGTCCATAAAGGTTCCCATTATTAAACTATAGACAACTAAGTAACAATATTTTGTATGTTCGAAGGTACTTATTTGTCCATGATAAATGTTTTACTCATACGTTACGTCTCTGTTCGTTTGTTAATTTCCCGTAAAAATTCTTTCCGAAGAACTTCAGCGATACAAGTCCTTTCTTAAATAAAACTAGTCTGAGAGACGATCCACTACGTCATATGGGGCGTGTCAGATTGTACAAGAATAATACGTGTCGTTTAAGTAGACTAAA